AGGGTAAAAACCATTGTCATTACTAGAGTACCGTTCACGCTCGGTCTAAAGTCAATGTTCGATGACCATTCTCTACGAAGAACAGCGAAAGCTATCTTCATACAGTATTCTGAGTTTCCGAACATAACACACGAGTGAGTGATTGCTAATTTTCACATTTCCCGTGGAAAACGACGGGCAGCATGGATGGCATCATCTGTTCCAATGGAACCAAAATACTGAGACGACATGCATTTGAGGGAAGAAAGTAATTGAATGCGAATGTATTTCTAAATTCCTTATGCTCATTCAAATACGAAGTAGTCCCCGGGTGTACGTTGTGGAAGCGATGTACTCAATAAAATCTCAGTCGAAGGGGAGGAGTTAATCGCTTATTTACTTCCGGTTACATCATACGGTAACTGCACATTTACTATCATTATTTTAAACCTCAATTCGAACCCTTTGTGTATTCCTAGTTCATGCAAAAATTCCAGGTGTTTTAGTTCTTATAAAGAAACTTTGAGGCTGATTGCATAAGGGGAGCTGAGCACAGCATTGATCAGGTATAAGAACCGTGGTTCTCAACTACATTCGTTTGCGATGATAGCGTGACGTTATCAGAGCAGTAGAATAAGGCATAACCATTGATGGGGTGAATGCTACCAGGTGCTTGTACTTGTTACCGCTACGATCATGCCGGATCGAGCCGAATGCTATTGGGTGAGGTATATTTATTCCACCTCAAATGAGACGAAATCTTCACGGGCCAGAACTACTGTTAGTTCAGGTAGTTCCAACAGGACCCTCTGGAACTCATAAGCAACAACTATCCACTGACAAGCGTAGGACAAGACAAGACGCCTGGATGGTCAAAGGGTTGAAGAAAGAAATCAATAAAAAACATGAAATGCGGACAAAATACTACATTAGTAAGCAGGGAGGAATTTTGGCATTATGTTAGTAAGATAAAACAGAGAATTCGACCCGCGTTTTCTATTAGGACAAGCAGGGTGCCCAAGCCCGCATATAAAGACTCCTGAGCGCGTCAACGTCGTTGACAGTGAAGGGAAGGGGAAGCACATCTTAGCTTTTTCGGTATGTCCGCAAAAACGCAGCAAGGTTTCTTCCCTGACCCTGTCGGACCCAAGCACTCCCTACAGCAGCCGTAACCTCATTTCCTAATATCTTATCATACAATAAACAGAAGCATTAAAGGAATCGAAGTTTTCAGACCCAGATGAGACTTCGCCGAGGGATATTAAAGAATTTGGAGTGAACTCTCAAGGCCTTTGTCGATGCTTTGTAAGGTCCATTTGATACTAGAATGCTTCCCATTGACTGGACATTAATCCCCTGTTGTCCCTCTCGGGTGCCAATGTTAAGTCACAGGCGTCTGCTAAGTCAAATACAGAATCACGGCGAGTGAACTGATGGGAGGCTTAGAAATTCACAAGCCGCAATCAAACTGCCTACGCGGATAATGCAAAGGGAGATCCTTACGATAAATTAGTCAAAATCCCACCAGAGATAGACACAGGCGCACAATTAACAGCATTTGCTTTCCTTTTTCTTAGTAATTTGAAGTGAATTGGAAGCTGCTATTGGCCATGACCCCCACCCATGCTCAAGACAACTTTCGGACCATTCCTCATTTGATTTACCGTAATTTTAGGGAAGAGAGGATGAACAGCATATCAAGGCCTACAACATTACCTGCCCAATAATTTCTTCGTGACGGCAGCAACGACCGGAGAAGAAGGTTTTCCATAGTTTTTGCTTTGATTGCTGATGATCAGCTGAGGAGAAGGCATAATACAGATGACAGTACTTCATTTAATACAACAAAGACGCCAAAATAATATTGAAGATTGACGTTATGAGGTGAAATTGCTAACATTCAGCGCAGTCGATCACATATCTGACAGTTATTTGGCAGTATGCTAGTCCGTTTTATTTTTATTCAAATAATATATAGGGCGGATGACGAGTTGTCACAAGACCGAGAGCGTTCTGAAATGTCTGCAAAAGCAGCTACGGTCATACTTTGTTGTACATTGGCCAATGCGCTACAGTTGAGGCCAGGGAAGCCGCCAACTAGCAAGAGGACCGGGAATCAGGTCGCAATGTCTCACTCCTGCCGTGACCTTTACTGCAACTCGCAGTGGCGATATACCAGACTGGTCCGTGCCCCTTCAGCAACCAACATGAACGTGACAGATTAGATGCAGCTTTATGGTTCGACAGCCACTGCGTCCGGCCTCAAGGCCAGTCAGCTGGGTTCGATTTTTCCATGGGTTAATGATGGAAAAGGTGGTGTCGAAAGGTGGTTGTGTCGAAAAAACGAAGGTCTCCCAAATCCGAAGTCAGGGAAGACAGAGTAGTTTGGAA